TATTGGATATATCTGTTTCAATATTGAATAATTTTCACGCGTTCTGACAATTTTTTTTTACTGTATTGTTTGACATGCCTGTCATTATGTAAATGTTACATGCATAAATAAAATTGCCTACCGCTTAACAAGATATCGATCTTTCTCTAGTTTATATAGAATTTTATGAGGGAAATAAATATATACTTATATGCACTTGTGCTAGCTACACTTGTATATATATATATTTAACAACAAAACACTAATTACACAACACTTTAATTCAACTTTAATATTTGTGACTTTGGTCACGACGATAGAGGATATTTGTTAAGAGTGTTGTGCGTATATAAGCTGGCTAAACAACATTAAATGTAATAAAGGGAGATAATAACTGCAAACTTACGCGTCTAACTGCAAAATGACTCAGAGAAAATTAAAGAGAGAAGGAAACGTATAAACAACGTAACAAACTGTGCACTACTTTATGTACAGCAAAACGCTGAACATTATTATTGATATAATGTAACAATAACTCTAAAATGACTGTTTAAATGTCACCTATACGGAGTTATGGCTTTGTGAATCAGGGGACATATATGCATGTAGACTGGACTGTCGCAATTATGTTTTTACAGAATTTTCAATTTTAAAGTGTGACACGAGAAGATTGAAAGAAATTCCTTTTTTTTTCTTTCACCTATGCTTGCTTGTGTTTCACTACTGTCTAAATGTTATAATTAAGATAAATCATTGTTTGGATTTACACACAACGCCACTTTTCAGATTTGTGTTTGCCTATAAATATAGGATCCCAAACAATAATATAAAGGACGTGGATGCAGATTTTTTTTTGAGAAGGTGATAATACCACTGTCCCTTTAGAGATCAAAACCTGAATAGGTGGTAACTTAAACGCTTCAGCACTTTCGCTGTCATAGGATAAGTTCAAGAAAGCCAAAAAAAACAAAAGAATTGGAGCTGCTGTAATCCGTATATTGTTACCGTGGTTTTAAAGCATTGTTTTAATACATTATGCATTATTGTTTAGGCATTATTCATGTGGACGAAAACACTGTTCCTAGTTACGTGAATTAAAACAATGCTTTAAAACCACGATAACAATGTATGAAGCTTTAATGAGAAGCAGAACATTTAACCTGTATGTTAAATGTCTAATTTATACAATTGTATGATTTATTTGATAAAATTGTGAAATCGATCCCGATATCACGACACCAGTGTGGTGATTCACATCCATCAGATTATTGGCGTTATAATTCAAGGTTTGTAAATTACTGCTGGGTTCGAAATAATATCCAAACTTAATTGTTGATTGGAAAATTGGTACGTGACCTCTCTCAACTGAAATACAATCTGAAATGATCAATTACAGGTAACAATTGTAAGAACCTACAGTAAATACAATTACTACTGTCAACACGAACGACGTCATGAGGGCCAATGAGAACAAGTTAAATGAAATGACATTAAACAAAAAAATATCTCAGACAATTCTCAATTTGAATAATAAAAGTGTCTTTGGTACATTGTAATATTATCGCCTTTGGAACAGGCCAACAGTTTTCATGGTGTCTTGGATTTAGATTTAAGACTTATTATATTATTAAAGAAATTATCTCGTGAAGGTCAACGATCTAGTTATATGTAATTTGCCGTAAATGGTCCGTGACATGCTATGCATTGAGACTGATCTAGGCGTTTCAATAATGAATGACTATTGTACGTATGAATGACCAATCAAAAAAGACGGACAGGGATAACTCCTTCTCGGTGGCTTTCTCTATACACAATTGGGCATTTTGTAAAAAGGAAGAAATATGCATATATCAAAGTTGGACTAAACTTTGGTTGTTTTGAAATTGATTTGCATTATTTGAATAGAAAACGAGTGAATAAACTAGTTTTAAAGGATTTCATTTAAACAAGACTGTGTCATCTTGTTATGTGTTATATATTATATTATAGAAACAAAAAAAGGAGTTAATGCAAATTACTTTTAAAAAGCCTCGTCATTTGTCTTGCATGTACTTCTATTTCCCCCCAGTTATCCATACTTTTGCAAACAGTATGAATTAAAACATGGAAATGTGAAGAATGTGAATTGTAACAAGACTGTGTTGTATTTTTAAATAATCACCAAAAAAACGAAGTAAGTGAGCAGTTATATAACAATTTTGTCTGTCGACCTAGACAACCCAACAAAGTAACAAATTTGTCTGTCGACCTAGAAAACCCAACAAAGTAACAATTTTGTCTATCGACCTAGAAAACCCAACAAAGTAACAATTTTGTCTGTCGACCTAGAAAACCCAACAAAGAACAAATTTGTATGTCGACCTAGAAAATCCAACAAAGTAACAATTTCACTGTAATATATAGCAACTCATCAGTGATAATAAAGGTAAGAATGACATTACCTGTCTATAGTGTTCCGAGGTCCCGAAACGTCTGTAGACATACAGAGTTAGGGGGAGGGTGTCTATAGTGTTCCGAGGTCCCGAAACGTCTGTAGAAATACAGAGTTAGGGGAAGGGTGTCGATAGTGATCCGAGGTACCGAAACGTCTGTAGAAATACAGAGTTAGGGGAAAGGTGTCTATAGCATTCTGTTAACAGTTTTTCTACAACAGATTATCTATTATCACAACTCAGCTAGAAGTCCTTAGCCACACAGCAGTAATTGCATTAACTACCAAACATTCGAAAGGTGTAATTATTATATCGTCCCATCTGGGTTGGGATATAAACCTATATTTGTCTTTACGTCGTTACGCCCACTTTCGCTCTCTACATCCCTGGAATATGTCATAGCAAAGTTGAAGGCACGAAGATAGCTGTTTGATTTGTCTCAGGTAAAAAAACACCCTTTGAAGATTACAAAGGAGAGACGCCAAACTTCAAAGCCTGTCAATTTTTACCGTTACGTGACCGCGGGATTCTTTTGATGTATATCAAAGAATCGAACTAGTGTTCTCGTCTCATAAACAAGGTGGCGCACACTGAGCCTTCAACTTTGTTATGACATATTCTAGGGGTGTAGAGAGCGGTCTTAGTGACGCGATGGTGTAAGTGATATTACGACGGGTACCGGGACAAGGCTAACAAAACAGTAAGGAATGACAAAATGGCAGATAATCCCATTCGGCTGTCATCCAGAAAACTTACCGACATAACACTCGCTGTATCTGCCAAAAGCTGATGACCTGACCATCTAATATGGTCCTCGTGATCATATGTATTTGTTACTAGAATCTTTTGTTGTCTTGCCAAGTATCCGTAAATAGAGGACACACTAGAAATCCTTCCGTTCATTTCAACAAATTTTATTCAAAATGGTAAACGAATAGGATTGAACAACAGGTTAAGCCTATATCAGTTCTCCCCTGTTTTATCGAAACATATTCTCTCGAAATCCTTGCGTTATACTGTATGTATTAAGAATGGGTGACCCATTTTGACTGTCGTTGTCATAGCATGGGTTACAGAAGCCCCTATTCTTTTGAGCTATTGAATAAGTCTATGTTTTTTTTTGTATATTTTGTCAATGTTATTCTCATGTTCTGACGAGAATACTACAATTTTATTCTACATGCCTTTCATTGTGTATATGTATTAATACTTACTGACTAACTAAACATTCGTACCTTAAATAATCATTTTGACCTGAACGAAACATTCGTACCCCAACTAAACATTCGTATATTAAATTAAACATTCGTACGTTTACTTAACATGCGTACCTTAACTAAACATTCGTACCATTAAACTAAACATTCGTACCATTAAACTAAACATTCGTACCTTAATTAAACATTCGTACCATTAAACTAAACATTCGTACCTTAATTAAACATCCATACACGTTCATACTATTTACCTTAAATAGTATTAAGGAAACAAACAGTCGCATTTATTTAACAATAAAATCACACTAATTCAATAATGTGACAATTATAAAGAGGGATTTATGTTATTAATAGTTTTGTGCGTATTTAGACGAGGTATGATGAAATAAACACGGGAAGATTATAACTACAAACTTTAGTATTAAACTCTGCTTACATACGCATAGAGTGCATGCTGTGTTATTAATAAATTGAAGAGAGAACAAACACATCATCGATTTTCAGAAGCATATCTTCTTAGTAATTAAAGCAACTAATCAAAATAAAATACAAAATAACGATCAATTTTATTGATCATATATTACTAATATAATTAGTAAACAATGTTAGAGTAAAAATTAAAGGTTTACATAATGTTAAGATATTAATGTAGGCAGCATTAGTGTATAGGTTTTAAAAGGCAACTTCTCCAATGGGAAACGATCCTTATTAACTGTGTTGGATTATAAATAATTTTATACAAACTTCTAAAAACACACGGATCATAAAAAGAATCTTAAATGTGTTCCAAATATACGAGATTTATGAAACAAGTCTCAGAAATTTTCAGTTTTGGCAAGCCCACTTACTTCTCAAGATTCGCTTCATAATCAATCGAACATGATATTTAAACTCTTGTAAGATCATAAAGTGTAGGTACTTAGTGACTCGAACTAAGATAAATATATCAAAGTCCATCGGTTTTGATGTTATAGTCTATTTGTCGAAGGTAGTTTATATTACACATGATTGTTATATTTACATTTGCCCCCGCGCCGTCCCATTACAACAGTGTTAGAGGGCAAGTGTAATTATTATTTAGGCCAAAATTACAACTGCTCGACTATAATTACAACTGCCTGTTTCAGGTGTAGGAATATGTAAACAAACAAAATGGCCGCCGGAAATGTATTTTGAGGCAGGGCAAATGGTTTTTGTAGGAATATGTCTTAAAAAAGAAAATATGTGAATATAAAAAATACCTGGATGTCTGGATGTAATTATTATTGATATAATTACATGTGGCCTCTGGCAAATCTACCGGGTTTTATGGGATTTGCCAGAGGCCACTTGTAATTATATCAACAATAATTACATCCAGACAACCAGTTATTGTTTAAATATACTGAAGGTCACCAAATAACCTACACTCTACCTATACCAAGGATCTTCAAACAGATAATACAACGAATGGAAAAAATAACAAAAATTAAGAGATCAGAGTTACGTGTTGTCTGTGGATAGTGAAAATGCTCCGAGGTATCGTCAGAAACATAAAAACAGACACATATCTTAGCACTTTACGTTTATTCTGTCATGTATATGTTAACACATAGTTATTATATTTCTTGTCCTTTCCCTCCATTAGGGTTCCCAGAACATCATGTGGTATCACTGTGCAATACAGTACCGACAGTCGGGGGAAACTTGACAACTGTAAAACGACAGTGAAAGCACGAAGATCATTAAACAAGAATCCTCCGGTAAGGTCTAACTTTATAAATACTTCTCCAATTGGTGTCAGATTACAAACATTACTTGTCCAGTAATCATGGATGTTTGTGTCAGCGTGCTAACATGACTTGTGCAAGAGTAATGGAGGTTTGTGCCGGCCACCTACTCAACATTGTCACATGTCAATATGTGTAAGTCTGCAAAAACTACTTGCGGTGTTTTTGCAGTCTGCAAAATCTAGTGTTCCAAGATCAGGGAGGTTTAAGTCAGTTTGCAAAAATAATTAGTCCAAGAATCAGAAGGTGGCCAGCTACTCAATGTTTCTGAAAATCAAGGGGTTTTGTAACAGCCTGCAATCACCACTAATCAAATAATCATGGAGGTTTGTGTAAGTTTTCAAGACTGTTTCTCCAAACATCAGGGAAGTTTGTGCCGGCCAGTCAATCAACGTGCCTAAAACTCACGTCAGTTTCTGTCAGCCTGCAAACACTACTTGTCAAAGAATCATGGTGATTAGAGTCAGTCTGTAAACAGTCCTTACGGCCAGCTTCTCAACTTTTCTGAAAATCAGGGAGGTTGGTGTCAGCCTGCAAACACTGCTTATCCAAGAATCAGAGAGGATGCTTTCAGCCAGCTAATTGTATTTTTCAAAGAATCAGGAGGATTGTTCCAAAGCTTTTGCAATCAGGTGTGCTTCACTTTTAATTAAATCACGTGACTCTGCGTCACACATGTCCAAACTTTTCGAAGTTGCTGACATCGGGTGTTGCCCTTGGTGACAGGGGGTCTTTCTGTAATACACCAAACAACAACGTTAATAGTTAGTTCATTTGAGATGAAAACCCTCTGGACACACTTTAATATACACATATATGTATATTTATGGGCAAAGAAGTAATAACGACAGTGCAGACAAAGAAATGTGTCAAATTTTCAGGGCGATCTGCCCCTTTATCAAGACAGGAAAAAAACGAAAATTTACATTTCACAACATGTAACAGAAAAAAACAGTCACCATGAGACAATAACACAATACAAAATACATAAACAAACAGGGATCCATAAATGACAAAGACGACAGGAATTAACAAATACGATACGAGTACGGTTAAAGACGGGAACAAAAAAACAGGACAAAACGAAACAGTAAAATTGGATATGCTGGATCACAAAATAGAAAAACTAGATTATGATGCGTATTACTTTAGGTGATAGATATATGTATATTTAGATATATAGATATATGTATATTTAGACATAAAAACAATCCGCTTGAAGAAGCCCTAGAAGGCAGAAAGGCCTAGCGGACGATCTGAAAAAAATATGTTTTTATTCTATATTTTCCTTCGCAAGGACTTATTTATTCATTATCTGCTGTATATTTAGATATATAGATATATATGTTATGACAAGGAGTGACTGATTTAGATGTAAATTCACAAGGTCCAACCAAACTTTAACGATATAACTATTGAAATAATGTTAAACAAAAAATTCTACAAACAATGCATTGGATTTAAGTTTTTCCATAAATGTAATAAATGCAGTAAGCAAATTAATATGCACTTTAATAACCGGGTCGATTTGGATTTAATAGAGTTTTTAATAGTTACGTATACGCTTCTGTCAGTATCGCTACGAAAGCCTGCATGTGTCATACAGCTAGAATACCAGATATAAAGCTACAATATACCGTCGCTTTCCGTCTTAGTATGTATATGTGACCAATAGAGTTGCCTCCCTTGGCACAGTAGTCTGAATGTGATCAATACAGGTACATTATCACTATTGGTCTATTTGGTCAATAGTTACCTACCTTCATGTCACTGGTCATCTGTATTTGGTCCAGTAATTGTAAAACCTGTCTTCTCTTCAGCTCCTCCGCCTTTTCCCGGAATGACGTCATTGTGTGACTACACTCACAAATGGCACATTCTGTATTGTTGGGGTCACATTTCTTGTACTGTGGAAATATCAGTGACGTGTAATACAACTTTTAATGACGTCATACATGTATTAATGAATTACATGGAAAAGGGTTATCCTTGCATTTACATCAAGACAAATGTAAGTTCAAGTGTTGTATATAATATACAACAAACTATTGTAACACTTGATATTTGAATCGTTAGCGGTCACGTGTAATTCCTTCCACATCACGTGGACCTGTGTTTACCTGTTTGAAGATGTCGGTGCTAAGCCCTTCCCGGATGAGTTGTATAGCGGCATTTTCCTTGTCCCACTCTATACAGGAAAACAGAAGTGCACTGTGACGGGAAATGTCCCCGTGGACACGTAGTCCTCGCAACAGACGATGTATCGTCATCAAGTCCTCCTTCTGTAATACAAATATTGCTCATTGTACAAGAAGTCAGAGTCTACCAGGTTGTTTCAACAAAAACTTTCGTAAATAATCTGCAACATGAAGCCTTTACTATGAGGTACATTGTGATTCTTCAGATATAGACAGGGAGAGTGGATATAGACAGGGAGAGGGGATATAGACAGGGGGAAGGGATATAGACAGGGAGAGGGGCTATAGACAGGGAGAGGTTTATGGACAAGGATAGATGATGTAGACAGGGAGAGGGGATATAGACAGGGGGAGGGGATATAGACAGTGGGAGGGGATATAGACAGGGAGAGAGATATAGACAGTGGGAGGGGATATAGACAGGGAGAGGGAGTATAGACAGAGGGAGGGGATATAGACAGGGGGAGGGGATATAGACAGGGGGAGGGGATATAGACAGGGAGAGGTTTATGGACAAGGATAGATGATGTAGAGAGGGAGAGGGGATATAGACAGGGGGAGGGGATATAGACAGTGGGAGGGGATATAGACAGGGAGAGAGATATAGACAGTGGGAGGGGATATAGACAGGGAGAGGGAGTATAGACAGAGGGAGGGGATATAGACAGGGGGAGGGGATATAGACAGGGGGAGGGGATATAGACAGGGAGAGGTTTATGGACAAGGATAGATGATGTAGAGAGGGAGAGGGGATATAGACAGGGGGAGGGGATATAGACAGTGGGAGGGGATATAGACAGGGAGAGAGATATAGACAGTGGGAGGGGATATAGACAGGGAGAGGGAGTATAGACAGAGGGAGGGGATATAGACAGGGGGAGGGGATATAGACAGGGGGAGGGGATATAGACAGGGAGAGGTTTATGGACAAGGATAGATGATGTAGAGAGGGAGAGGGGATATAGACAGGGGGAGGGGATATAGACAGTGGGAGGGGATATACAGGAAGAGGGATATAAACGTGGGTATACCACTTTCTAGAAAACGACTCCTGACTCTTTTTGTAGTGTTAAACGACTAATTTGAAATATAGATCTGCTAAACAAGTTCGAGTGAACGATATAATCTGTTCCGTCCCAATGAATAGGTTGAGAGACGACTATTGTGCAACTAAATATCAACAATATGAACCAGGTTTGTGTTCTTCCTTATTATACCACGAGACCGTGAATGACATTTTTGTGTTGATGGGCCGTAATAAGACTTTTATATCCCTAACCGATTCACCCCTAAAGTCACATTTGAACATCACCAAATCAGAGGCTGGGACAGTCCAGTTTTGATATGTAGGGGTGAATGAGTAACATATTCATTGGCCTTTTTAAAACTACTGTGTGACACTGTATGACCTCATTTAATTCACGGACTGTGTAAACCTGTATAAGCGTATCGAGTTGATAGGACGTCAATGATACCGTACATCGCAATGTATAAACTTGGGTATACAGAGCAATTCTACTGGTGAAATCATGTCTTTCTAAAGGGCGCATTCAGAACTATTATGAAGCACATTGCATAATGGATTCTTTATACAATTTACAAAAATACATCTATACAGATTAAATCATCGATGTTTTAAATGCACGCTTAATGTAATATGTAAGTACAAGTATACACAGCTAGGTCATATATTGATCGAGAGAAGCGTTCATATAAACATTATCTCCAAGGTTTTTTCAACGCTGCATTTATTTTATTTTTATTCATTCATTCATTTATTTGTTTATTTGTTTTTATTTTTGTATTGATACATGCTTCACTATTAATAGGAAATACTGTTAACTAGCATTGCATCGAACAAAGTCCTCATAGTTGTTATTGATATTTGATGAAACAGTCAGACACCTTAAACAGTTTAATCAGATTTCTTCTCGTGGACATGTATTATTTTTTACACATTACGTCAGGTCATATAGAAACAACAGACCAGTCAGATGTCAGTGAAAGCGTAAAATTCGATCAAGTGAATGACTTCATTGTCAGACTTTGCTACAGCAACATTTTGAATATTATGAAAAGAATGGGAGTTATTCCCCTTTTACCTAAAATTGACAATCTTTTTTTAATCTGTCTTGTTGTCAATGCATTGTTTTGTTATTTTGCTGAAATCTGTGCGTGCACCTGTTGAACCTGTAAACTTATGTCCCTTTTGTACCTCACCTGTATTGCTGCCTTCATTGACCTATTGAACTGCGTCTGACTTAGGAACACCTCAATGGCCATTTCCTGGACAGCTTTCTTTAGTAAGGAGAAGGTACGCTCCCCGCTTACCTCATACCTGTACTGGTGGGGTGTCAGGCCTTGCTGAAAATGATATCGTATTTAATAAGTTCTACATGCAATTCAGGTAATATCTGTTGTACAGAAACATGACATCTGTACTGTGACTTAGATTACAATTGATTTAAATAATAGGACGTAGTCGTTTGGTGCTTATGCAATGCCCAGTTAACTATTTCAATGGAATTGTTTTCCAAAATGTACAAGCAAAAACGAGCAGTCGTTATTCGGTCTGTATTTTCAAATCTTGCAAACACGTCATTTGACAAACAGTGATTCGCGATCATAATTATACGCCAAAATAAGACGATTTACAAATAAATATATTAATACAAACATATCACAAATGTCCGAATGTGTCATACAAATAGAGTTTTATACGTTACTCTAAAGGCTCTCGTTTACATAACATGGTATCCTTGACATATATCGCAATGGAAAGAGCATAGCCAAGATACAGGTAAATCTTGACATACATTTAGGAACTTTCGCTTAACTGAGGGATGTTAGCCTGACACAGCCTCACCATCGTCATTTGCTGTTATGACGTCACCAAGGAAGACTTACCACGTCCCTTATGCGCATGTCTCCTAGCTTGGTGATGGTGGACAAGAATGGGTCGCCCTCCATAAACAGCTGTGCGTAGTGGAGAGGTGTCCTCCCAAACTGTGGAAGAACGTTATGTATTCAACGAAATTCGAATTTACGTTGTCGGTGAATATTTCAAACGATTATGATGTTTTAGTTCTATAAATACTTGTGTTAAAATTCTGTAATCGTTTTGAGTGTTCGATTATAATAACGTTTGAAATATTGAAAAAAACACTTCGTTTTCAATTGAAAGATTCACGTATAACAAGTTAACAACGCTTCATGTATCACCGCTACGAACTATTTCTAACTTTGATAATCATTAGTAGCTAGGTGGCTCATTCTGCCTAACTTATATTATCTCATTTGCTGATATATTACTGAGTTGGTAAAAGAATTGCCGTGAGTATGACTTTTTCTGCGTGTTAGAGATACGTACATTGTCCTGTGCGTTGAGGAGTTGTGAGAAGTTATTAGCGAGGTAGCTTATGACGTCATTCTTTCCGTTGAAAATTGCGATATGTAGAACCGTCCGCCCACAGCGGTCGACGGCAGGTGCGTACTTCCTTCCCATCAGGCGCTGCAACTCCCCTAGACTTCCAGATTCTGTCTTCTGGAACATCTTACAGATGTGTTCCTGCAAGATAATGTAAATTTCAATGAGTTTTCTTAAAACATGTTGAGAATTGGTCTTACAAGTACTTCCAGGGAACGCGTCACTAGGTTGTTGTCACTAACGAGGCTCGGATATAAGAATATGATGTTAGTAGTATATTTCAATTATTCCAGTGGTCTTGCTTTGTAAAAAGATACATCTTAAAGTCAAACAAAATATTGAAAAGAACTTTTATTTCTAATCATTAATAATTGTTGAACATATTAACATTACACAACTTTATTTGGCGAGAATTAAGGACTGCTGTCGTTAAACCCTGTGTGTCTGTTATTTACTGACCTTGACCGCGCCCGCCTTGTTCAGGAGATCGTCCATAGCAGATGACCGACACCTCCCAATGTCGATGACGGAATTGCCCGTCTGTCTATCCCTGACGTCCAGAAGGTGGTCGTACCCGTGTCTTATGAGGTTTCTCACGCCCTCTATATTACACTCTTTAACCATTTCTACCACACACGTGTCTATCAGTCTACAGTAACGTGGTTTCTGAATAAACTCTGCGTAGTCACGTGCTGTGCGGCCATGCTTGTCTCGTGAGGCGATATTGACGCCATATTTGAAAAGACTGATGATGAAATTGTCCGGATAATCTCGCGCTATCGCCTCGTACACAATTGTCTGTCCATCCTGATTTCGGACGGACATGTCTGAAGCTTCTAACACCCGGTGTATTATAGAGTCCGTAGGCTTGACAACGCCACTCAATACCTATAAGGGATAACACAAACCGAAAAAGGTGAATGGTGTTTTTCTCAAAAACTCTAAAAAGGATAAACAAAAGTTTTTAAGTATTTCTTACGTAAAGTTTGGCCCGGTTATGATATACCTACAGCTTTTAAGTATTTCACCAAATTAGTCCAAATCTGTTTAACGATCCCGAAATGATATACCGTATACATGAAAAGATCAGTAACAAAACAATAGGAATACCTGGAAGAACAGTGGTTTCGGTGGCTCGACATCTGGATTATATGAAAACAAAACGGACGTGTCAACTCCCATTTCTAGTAGAACAGCGACGTTTTCCTCCATGCTGCCTTCCCACAATGCCGCGAGAATCGGAAGTGGGACTTCTGGGTAATCTGGATATCGGTACTGATAGCTGTGGTCAGTGATGTTGATATCGATGTTGTCCATTGCGTTTGGAACTGAAATTAAAAGGAACTAATTATTTACAGTTCGTGAATATACACAACCAAGTGAACTGCTGCACTCTTGGATCCTCACGGGTATGTAGTAAATAAAACGTTAACATGCTACAGGTAGATCTATCTTCTAATAGTAGGTAGGAAGCTAATTGGTCTCCAGCACTTCATTACATGCCGTAAAAGGCAATTTGTTTATTGTCTTCTGTTGAATAGTAATATTTCGTCTATTTCCTCTATTTTATAAAGAAGTTTGAAGAGTTGTTACACCAATTTAACATCGTGGACTAGTAACTTTACCTGATGTTAACTTTATTGCTATTCTTTAAAAGTTGTCTATTCTGATAGCGTTGCCATGAAACCTTTAGCGTGTTGGTCATTAAAAAAGGCACTACAAACGTGTGTTAAAACATGTATTAAGCCAAGGTCAACATAATATCGAATAATGAGATACTTACCATCCTTGAAGAAATATCGGAGGGCCAGATCCTTGCCCGTAAAAAGAGCCAGAGCAAACTCGATGGTATTTTCGTATTTCTCCAGCAGTTCCACCAGATCTAGATCCCGGATGTTCTGCTTGGCGATTGTTTTAAGACAGACTAGCTTCCCGTTTTTTACAACACTTGTCCGACAGAGATATTTGAGCAGTTTTTCCACCAGTGCCCTGTCAGGTTTGGCCTCCATCATAGCCCGGTATAAACCTGGAATTTCACAACATTAACAATAGTTAATATACATGTAGGAGAGTTACTGTAAAAATACAAACATCACATCCCAAATATCGTACACGTATTAAAATCTGACACGAAATCAGGTCATGGAGTTTGGTGATACCGTATCAACTGAGTTCGAACTGAAGACTTGGGCTGGTGACGTCAGAGCCTCTTACTAAAAACAACGATATTGGAATCATTTGTGATGATTTTGTTTATTTATGACGAACATTGCAAATATTTGCGATGAACATTGTGTATATTTGTGACGATCATTGTACATGTATTGGATTGTGACGAACATTGTATTTGTTTTTTATGAACATTGTACTTATTTGTTATGAACATTTTCAGGTTATGGGGTGATAACTCCAGTTGAACAGAGATGTCTGTTTCACCATCTATAATACATTAACTCGTGCTAAACTGGAGTTATCGCCTCATATTCTGACCAAAACAGAAAGGCAATCCTTTTATTTAGAGTATTTTACTGTGGATGGTTCATAGCTATTTTATAAATTAGTCTAATCAACGGATACACTAATTTCATTGTCTAAACATTAAAACGTCACCGGTTAAATAAGCCTACATCGGAGACATATATAATACTGTAACTTATCACATACCTGTTCAATCTTGTTATAGTAATACAAGCAATTTTCAGACCATGAAATACAACGTTCTGTATTGCACATGTGCAATACGGAATGTTGTATTTACCTACTAGCCGGAACCACTTATTATGGGAATCCCCTTGTCATGTCGAACTGAAAGGTTCCCGGTATTTGCAAAAAATATCAAAGTTTATAAAATCTTTGTACCATTATTACCAAATACGGAAGTTGTGAGAAGATAACTCCAGTTTACGTGAACAACAAAAGTGAAAATCAGTATAGACTGTAACTATGTATGAATAGAAGACTATTGAAGTGTTCATGAATAGGTGAATGTTCATCACGTACGTGTTTACGTAACCATTACCTGGCGAGAACTTGTTGAACCAATGAAGTGTCTCCTCCCATCCCTCGGGTTTGGTCTGCAATAGAACGTCCCTGGGGGTCAGGCCTTCCTTGTTTTTGACTAATGGGTCGGCACCACACCTGTCATACGATCAAACTTTTATATTTTACTCTCCATGACACAATGCTTATTCTTCGTTTTTTTTTATTAGAATCAATCGATATATACTGTAGTATATATATTAGTATAATCACTGTATAATTGCGGGTATCAATTTCATGTGTTGACGTAAATTCATCGGTGCTTTGACGAACCACATATTAGCGCTAGTAGAAGACACGATTTTATTTTAACATAAGATCAGCTATGTCTATTATAAACCAGTATAATGAGTGACCTGACCACTTATCGGTGTTTCAAGTGAGTTTCTATTTATAACAAGTTGACCGTAATTGGATTATTAAGAATAAACCAAGAATTTAAATAATCTCATCAAGGTATTAGTTATGGCTATAATAGGGTACTTACACCTAACTGTACATAGCCAGTGATTTTATTGCTACTATACTACTGTACAACACCCAGCCGCCCGTCAGCAATTCCGTGGACTACTTATATACTTAGTCACCGCTGTCAAAATTCAGAATGTGATGATTTAGTGCATTGCAATTAGTTACAAGGTTATTTGGATTCCAACAAACTGCCTCTCTGCCAGAAGGAAATAAAAATAAATACCTATCTACCACGAATTTCATTCCCCTCCCCTCCACCCTCCCACCACCTTCTTCAGTAGCGGATTAAGGAAGATGGATCCAGATATACATTTGAGATTAGGGGTCGCCAATTTATACGAGAATATGGATGATCGGGTGGTTAGTGTTACTAAAGTGCATGGGTGTTGGAGATGACGGATTTTTTTAGGGAGGGTGCGGAAGGGGGAGAGAGGATGTAGAATCATCAGCCCGTGACCATTGTGCCGATACTTTTAATGATTTTCCCCATAAATTAATCTACATAGCTACAGACAGACACCTTGTAATGTAAACAATACACAATCCAGGCTAAAGTACTCGATAAGATGGCACAACAAGTGTACCGGAACAATACGCTCGTAACATAGACCAGGCATCCATTTAGACTCGATGCAAAACAAAGAGTCGTACTTAAATCTTTTGCATTATTGCAATAAAATGTATAAAATATAATTGAAATGTAAAAAGAAATAATCTACAACACAGTGCTATATTACTCAGAAGGTTGGATTATTTCTTGGTTGTGTTAAACAAGAGGCCCAGAGGGTCTATATCGCTCACCTGGATAATACGGCAGCCATTATTACATAAAATCCCACCAATAGTTAAGAAGAAGAAGGATTTTAAAGATTTAAACCTCAAATTCTCCGCAACTCTGCACCCAAAGGGGCCTTACCTTTGTTTATACAAAATTTAGTCCCCTCTGCCCAAGTATGCTCCAGGCCAAATTTGAATAAATCCCTCAAATGGTACAGAGGAAGAGGGATTTTGAAGACTAAACCCTTGAATTCCCCTATTGGGCCCCGCAACTCTGCACCCTGAGTGGCCCAACTCACCATTTATACAAATTGAAGTCGCCTTGGCCCAAGGATGCTTAAGACAAAATTGGTATGAAACCCTTAATCCTTATGGTAGAAGAAGAATTTTAAGGGTTTTACCGCAATTTCCCCTATTCGGACCCATCTCTCTACCACAATTTATACAAAATTGAGTCCCCTTGGCCAAAGGATGCTCCAGACTAAATTAGAATAAAATCCCTTTATCCCTAAGGTAGAAGAAGGTATCTTAAGATTTTACCTCTATTTCCCCTATTGGGCCCTACCCCTCTGCCCCAGGAGGGCCACACCCACCGTTTATATAAAATGAGTCCCCTTGCATGAAGGATGCTCCAGAACAAATTGAGATAAAATCCCTTCATCTGTATGGTAGTAGAAGGATTTGTAAGCTTTTACCTTTATTTCCCCTATTGGGCCCCGCCCCTCTGCCCCGACGGGGGTCCAAAACCCCCGTTTATACAAAATTGAGTCCCCTCTGCCGAATGTTGCTTCAGAACAAATTTGGATAAAATCCCTTTTTCCCAATGGTAGAAGAAGGATTTTAAAGGTTTTACCTCTATTTCCCCTATTGGGCCCCGCCCCTTTGCCCCCAGGAGGGCCACACCCACCGTTTATACAAAATTGAATGCCCTTGGCCTAAGGATGCTCCAGATTAAATTTAGTCAAAAACTACTGGGCCGTTCAGGACTAGTAGTGTTTTAAAGGAAAAGTTGACGGACGGACGACGGACGCCGCGCCATGGCATAAGCTCACTAGGTGAGCTAAAAAGGAAAAAACATACCTATCCACACAATAAGACACACGCTGTTTAAGGATTGCTCATATATTTAAAATTATATTAAAACAAAATCCTGTGAAGCAGAATGTTTTCAATAATTACGTGGCTTTTGTTTGGTCATTCGTAAAGACAACAACTTGAAAGCATACGTCATTCCACGTCATATTATTATAGTCTTTTATATAAAAATCCACGTCCAATCCAATTATTGATCAGTCTATGGTATTACAACTATAAAACCTTAAAGTTCAGATGCCATACATATCAGCTATGAATGTCATGGCCCACGTATTGATGTTGTAAATATTATGACTTCAATATTTTAACGTCGGATACACTGACACTTCTTAGAGATGGCTGTTCTATCAATTAAACAAGCATACATGATACGTACATTTATTCTAAACTTTGATAAACCTTTTTTTTTATGTGATGATTTATTTTTTAAAGAAAATGTAAATATAAGCACTGAACTGCTTTCAGATGGCGCTTTCAGTGTGAATCTTGGAATTTGTCACAATTCTCTTGGCATGCATACTAACTATGAATGCCAACTGGAAGCAGTTAAATGCGTACGTGACACCCTCCCATTCAGTCCTCTACGTAGCTATGTGACATCATAAACTACGTCGCTTAATCCTACATAGTAATCAACATAACAATATGACGCAACGCACCTGATCACTGCAACAACGGCCCGGTACGTATAAGGTTTGCGCATGATCCTGTGAAGAAACGTGTCTCCCTCGTTGTCAAGAATGTCAAGGTCGATGCCCTTACAGGCCATGATGTAAATGACGATGGTGCCCTGAGGGCATCGGAAACGGTCTACATAGTCGGCCAGTAGGTGAAGGTACGTTTCCCCCGTGCCCTCGTCACGTAGGTTAATGTTCTTCCCACTCTGCACGTGCTTAATGCATTCTGAAGATATCTCGGACATACATCCACCCGCCAGAATTTTGTAGATCCTGGTGTCACGAAGCCGAACCATGGCGGCTAGTTTTGGAAATATTTGATTCCCTCTTCACTGTATAGAACCAACGACTAATGAGACATATATAGCACTCCTTAGATGTTGACTGTTTGAAAAGCTTCACAATCCAAATGCTGGACAAAAACACTGGACAAGTAAAAGTGGTACTCAAACATCGGCAAAAACTCACAACATGGCAATTACATTGGCTGCCTTGGTGAAACTAATATAGTTAAACACAGAGGCATTTGATCAAGTACTTTAGCAGTCAGATTTGTATCCAAATCCTGGCTCTGGCTGTTTTCCTGTTTTGTCTCCCAGTAACAGTACTGAGGTAAGACATACACATCTCTACCGAAATGTTGATAACAAAGCTGACCCCACAAGGGTTAATGCCAAATCACGACAAGACGCAAAGTGGCTCACGATACTGACTGATAAAGGATCGGTTACTCCTCCTTATTTCAATGTTCACAAACACTCGCGTTCCTGAGTCATTGGGAATTCAGTGGAATTGTACCTTAGTCCACAGACCGCTAGGGTTACCCGTGATTACACGTGACCTCGTCAAACCTCCCGGGCCTTTGTCGTTCCCACATGCAGTGACAACCCGCCGAACGATAAGACACCCCCGTCAATCCAAATGCCACACAAAGACTTATGTGTATTGCCACTGTTTGTTTTCTCTTTTACACATGACAAACACATAAAGACTATAATAAAAAAAAACTTCACCGATCTAACCACGCTAATGTGCTCTTCGTTGTTTAAAATACAAATGTATATATTAGGATACAATATACAGGTATGCGGTAATCACTTGGTTATACCTGTAAAATACCTGCGATCACGAAAGTGTCGCATTTCTAAAAGCCCTAATACACAGATATGGTGATATATAAGAGCAGTAACGAGTGTACGCGCGACTCTCAGGTACTGTAACAAGGCCAAGATTAGTGTAATACCGACTTAAACACTTCTCTTTGACGAACGATTTTAATCTGCTCTCCAGGTCTTAATTGACACTAACACGTACAGGAACTACAATAGAAGGAAAAATTGATTAAAAACAACACCCCATAATCGCCCTGTTAACAGCTGTAGTTTTCTTTAGTTTATATTAGTTGTACTACTTTCTTTGTGTAGTTTAAATGTGTAGTTTAAATAACATAGATTGCATACATGTAGTTTACATGTGTAGTTTATATGTCTGTAGTTTAGATGTCTGTAGTTTACATGTGGGTTATATGGCTGTAGTTTATATGTCTGTAGTTTAGCTTTCTGTAGTTTACATGTGTAGTTTATATGTGTGTAGTTTACATGTGTAGTTTACATGTCTGTAGTTTATATGTGTAGTTTACATGTCTGTAGTTTAGATGTGTAGTTTATATGTATGTAGTTTATATGTCTGTAGTTTAGATGTCTGTAGTTTATATGTCTGTAGTTTAGATGTGTAGTTTATATGTATGTAGTTTATATGTATGTAGTTTATATGTCTGTAGTTTAGCTTTCTGTAGTTTACATGTGTAGTTTATATGTGTGTAGTTTACATGTGTAGTTTACATGTCTGTAGTTTAGATGTGTAGTTTACATGT